GTGACATTTGAACAGCCGAACTGCAGTCAGCTGAAGTAGCCTGCAGTGCTGCATTTAACCTCTGTGCCACCTCGGCTCCTTTTGGTTGTGACCAGAGGTTCTACTGTGCCAGCCTATATTTTCCCTACTGTTTTTTTTCTTTCATTCTTCTAGTCAGAATATTTATGTTTCCTATTCCAGAGTTATGGGTGTCAAGTTTTGCCTGGGGTTAGCTCCTTCCTTTTAACTAGCACTGATGATGCTATCTAGTTTGGGTAATGAACTCCTCCTTCCCTTTTCCCCATGAAAGGTTTACAGGAATTATTCTCTCATGAAGACTGGTAATTTTCTTGTTGCATTCTTCATAATAGTTATGTATGTATATGAACTCGGTAGCATACTAGAGCAGTCCTTGGAAAATATATGGTTGTTGGGTTGGATGTGTTTTGGTTTTAAATACTGGAATCCCTGGCTGATTTTGAGTTGAGAAATAATTTTTGGGATGGGTTTTTGTGTTTTCGTTTGATCTTTGCTAACCATGGTACTGACTGTTCTTTCTATTTCTATTTTTGTATGAAGCGATGCAGAAAAACCACTTTATTTTGCGTTGTCAAACAAATGTACACATTGGCATTAAGCTATCTTTTGAAACTCTACAGAGAGTGTGGTTCTCAAAAATAAATAGATTAAGTGTGTGTCTATGAAAAGGTAATAATAATTTATGTGTTGAAGGAGTAAATATAAGTAAGCCTCCTTAATGCTTAAGCATTTGAAGATGTTGACTCAGATGGTTATCTTAAATGAGCACTTGTATTTTCAGGTGGAAATGGAAAAGTAGCTAACCACACAAACTGACTAGTATTGACCTCCTTTTTATTTTTCTGCCTATCTCACTATAAAAAAATCTAATCCATGTTATGATTGACATTTGACATCATTACTGGTTCAGCATTTATTATATGTCTATGCAAAGCTGCTTATATTCTACCCTACCACCCTGGCTCAAGCAGATTGAGTGGTCTCTACTCATAAATAGGGTCATGGAGAATTTTTCCATTTCAGTACACATTCAACAATGTTATATAGACATTTGAAAGTATCAGAAGAATTCTACACAGACATATATGTGGATATTACATAATTCTAAGAGTAGAGCAGAGCAGAGGAAGATAGGACAGAATAGAATGGAACAGAATAGAATTCTTTATTGGCCAAGTGTGATTGGACATACAAGGAATTTGTCTCTAGCGCATAAGCTCTCAGTTTACATACAACAATAAAGTGATAGGCCATAGATCATAAATCATAGTTACAATCGTTCACCATAAGATACAAACAACAAATGATAAAGCATAAGATACCAATAGGGGAAGATAGTAGGAAAGGTGAGAAGATGAAAAATGAGAAGATGAGAAAGATGATAATAGCAGTACAGCTTACTACATGGGTAAATTTCTTAGGCCTAAGATAGTGCTGTGGAAATTAAGTGTTCAGCAGAGTAACGGCACAGGGAAAAAAAACCTGTCTTTGAATTTAGTTGTTTTGACATGCAATGCTCAAAAGAGTAATGTGGAAATTGGAATAAACCAACTCTTAGTACAGAACTAACTTGGCTTTCCTTGTTTACCTCCACCATTGATGAACCTTCAAATACTTAAAAGGTTGAGGAAATGCAGGGATACTTATACATTCAGTTGCATAAGCCTGAAAATTGTAGAATCAATTAAGTTAGATTTGCCGAGGTGTCCGGTGGCCATCAATCCCATTATCTGCCTATCTAGTCTAAGTAAGATTGAGGGCTTATAACAATGTTCTCCCATGGTATGTGTGCTAACCATTTCCTCATTTTGTATGGAAAGGTTTTACATAATTACATTATTATGAGTACAGAAACCCTTCTTGTATATGTCAAATTTATGGATGGTAGAAGAAAACATTTCTTATAGTATATATCTTATAATTGCAATATTAATTCTTAGGCTGTCACTAGAGAAAAAGATAATCTCCCCCACACAAGAAAAGTAATTTTTTGGTGCCCTGGAACCAACTAGACTTTACCAGCTTCATTACCACATAAGCCAGAATCTAAAGTGCTGATTTATAAACTGTCACTGTAAATGCATTGTAAAACAAGTGATACAACTACAACCATTTTATTTGTTTATATTCTTCCCTTTCATTGGCATATTTGAGAACGTTATATTACAACTATATAAACTTTGGACAACATTTATCGGCAATGAAGAAGAAGAAAAAGGGATTACAAAGGCACTCTTTGACTTACTTACTTCCTTCCTTCCTTCCTTCCTTCCTTCCTTCCTTCATTCATTCATTCATTCATTCATTCATTCATTTTTCTTGTAAGATCTTCCAGCATTGAACAAGTGTGAAGTGCATCTGGTGTTGGATTGCTCTCATTTTAGGGATTTGGCAAATCGATTCCAATCAGCCAAAAGTAACTCATTTC